TATCTATCTATCTATCTATCTATCTATCTATCTATCTATCTATCTATCCATCCAGGCACCGACAACCTTGCGGCCGCAGCTCCGATAAGCCACCTCGCCAATGAAGTCACGGAACATGGTCCATTCAGACTCAATGTCCCCCGCCTCCCCCAGAACGTGTTCGAAGTTCTGCCGGAGATGGGAGTTGAAGCTCCGTCTCACAGGGGACTCCGCCAGAATCGCCAGAATCGCCTGAACACTGAGGAAGTTATGAGCAAAGTTAGAAAACAGCAGGTGAAATGGTCACAAAGACACCATTGGTTCTGCTGTGAACTGCAGCAAGAAAACATGAGCTGATTTCACCTAAACAAATATCAATAACTTCCCTCATCCTTCAGATAATCACGTGATTTTGGTGTTATTTTGTATGGTTTGAAATGTTCTTTTGGAATCCGCTGTCAGATTTAATATTTGTGTAGGATTAAAAATTTATCCACATCTGTATATTATCTTTAAAATGGGCCTTAAACTACATCTCCTATGATGCATGTTGATTATTTCACCTGCAAAATGATGGCATCCCACCCCTAGGAGGAGGTGCACTGGGTTCAAAAGTACCCGGCAGCTGGCAAAATAAGCCGTGTAAAATCTCAGTTTTTCTGCATTTTTGCCAACCACTTTTGCTGTGGCCCAGTTGTACTGGGAAGTAGGAATTTCCCACTTACAAGTTAGAGTTCAGAATTAAACAAGGTAATTCATTACAACTTAACAGTGACTAAAAGCATTCACAGGGTTCCTGCAGATCCTTAAAGTCTTATAAGACATTGAATTCATCGGTCCAAAACTAAGGCCTTAATTAGCCTTAAAATGTCTTAAATAAATCTTTCAGAAGTCTTAATGTTAACACATTGTAAACATGATTATTGTAATTTATCTCAAATATTAAAGTAATTAGAAACATTTATTTTTTTTAATATCACACGCAGACATTCTTCTTTGACATCACTTCTTGTTACTTCACATGTAAATATCTCAACAATCCATCTGAGCATCATGAAATTTGTTTCATATGTTAATAATGTTGTCTTTCCAAAAATGTATTCATATTTCTTACAAAAACACTGTCACAGGTACTTTAAGCTTTCATCTACAGCAAATTGGGGTTCAGACCCCACTGTGGGTCCTAAAACTACAAAATTTGGGTCGTTAGAGAATTTCCAGGAATTAAATTAAGTTTCAAACTGACTGCTAAGAACGTTTTCGCTATATTTGACAAAAAATCAGTTGGATATGGTTAAAAGCAATTGGTTTATTAGGAATATTTGAATACTTCAACCAAAAATACTTTGATTCATGAGTTCTGCCTGTTTTTATTTTTTTTATCCTTTGTGTTTATTCTGAAATTGGTCTTTAAATTTAATTTAATTTGGCTTTTAAAAAGGTCTTAAATTTAATTTGCCTTAGGAACACTGATTAAAAACCCATCTTATTTCTGTATTATTTAGTCAGTTGTTCACGTAGTACTTTTTAGTGTTTGGAAGAGGACTTCATGTTAAAACTCAAAATACCATTTAGAGCTCAGTTATTGTTAGCTGTGCTCAGCTGTAGCAATGAGACGAGGAACGTGGCGTTTGGTGTTTAATAAAGCTTRAACACAAAATGTTGAAGATGATACATAATGCTCATGTGACCCTTGGTGAAATGAGTTTAACCTGACTTAAATGATTCAACAACAAAATAACTGGGAAGTTTTCCACTTTGAGTGTTTTCTAAAAAAAAAAATTTAAAGTACAACAATGTGATTTTCTGAGTGTTTTACTTTCATGGAAGTTAAAATATAAAATTGTAAATGTGATCTCTACAATCTGTTTCTGCACCATTGTGCAAATAACTGCATGTTAATATTTAATTTGAGTGCTAATGGAGAAAAAACTGTTTTTGCTGGTCTTTGACTTTACAGATCATCATTTTACCAGAGTTTTATAAATTGCTTTAAATAAATTCTTTAACCTATAACTAGAAAACAAACATTAAATATGGTTTGCTCTTTTATTCTTTTTTACACTTTGTAGAGAACCATTTTGTAGAGGTCAATAATTAGAAATGTAAACAGTATGTTTGTCGTCAGTCATGTAAGGAAATGAGAAATGCAAAAATGTGTTTTTTGTTTTTCCACAGTTTTTCTTGGTGGGGTGGTTCAGTTTTCAGAAATAACCTGTTTTCTTTCTTGACACAGCTCTAATTTTCTCTACCTGCAGAGTGTTACTTTTTTATAAACAGGCTGTCAGATGTGATCTGTCTCTGCTTTATAAACTCAGTTTTGTTTTGTTCTGCAGAGAGCTGTTGCGTGGAGCTTCGACTGGCCTCCTGTGGACAGGACAGCCAGCTGAAAGTATGGATTGTTTCCCAGCAGGACGGAGCAGGTAGACTGACCTCTCCGCTCTGCCCGCTCCTTCAACCAACACTCCTTTAATCCATAACACATGAAAGAGGAAAAAAAGCACGCTCTGCTGCCTGCTCCAACCTTCACATCTCTCTGCAGAAAACAATATTTTATTTGGCTTAAATTAGCCGAGGATGGATTCATTAATAATGGATCCTCAGCCTTTCTGATAAAAAGCAGCAGCTGAGCGTGTGTGTGTGTGTGTGTGTGTGTGTGAGATCGGGAAGGTCATCAAGTACAAACAAGACACGTTCAGATCCTGTCCGACCGCCAGCAGAACCAACAGATTTCACAGGTTGTGTAACCAGGTTACAGGCTGCGTTTTCACCGCGTGATGGCGTTAGTATCTGTGACGTGTTGCCGTGGTAACGGCAGCTTCCAGGGAGGATTCGATGGGYCTCACATGGTGACCCAAGCCCACTGTGATTGAGTTGTTTTAGGGGTTCTCCGAGCAGCTTGTTGAGACACCGACCAGTGTGTCATTTCATTTAGCTGCTGCTCAGATGAGACAGAAGTCATTGTTTGTCTGCAGAATTGATCCTGTTTTAACTGAATCCTTTTGAGTATTTCTAGCAAAAAAAACTAGAAAGTTTCTAAAATGCGAAAAATTAAGTGGAATGCTGTTGTTGAATATTTCCTGTCTGAACAATTTGACTTTTTTGATTTTGTCCTTTTTTTTAAATCCAGGTACAGAAACTTAACATTTCATTATTTTTAGGGATGCACAGATATGAAAATTTAAGCCGATATGAATATCCGATATAATTATTGCTGTTATGGCCGATAACCGATATTTAACRATATTACACAAACACACAAATTATGTTACACATATATACACACAAACACACTTGGGTCTTTTTTTTTTGATACGGTAAATAAAAGACCAAACCTCTGACATGGCTTCTTACTTCAGTTATTCCTGGTTACACAGCATCAATATCACTATCATGACCAAACAGATGCTGCTCAACCAACCAGCTCCCCTCCCAAAACAGAAACACAAAGCTAAAAAATGGGAAATCAATATTGGTCCGGTTTTACAAACTGGACCGATACCAATATGCTAAAAAAAAGACCAATATCTCTGATATTAATACAGATACATTGTGCATCCCTAGTTATTTTTGTTAATTAAATGTGAAATAGTTTTCGAAGCTGGCAGTTTTTTTAGATCTCTTTTTCTGAAAGACATAAGACAGACCAGTTTTGTTTTGCTGTTGTGATTTTATTTGTGTGTTTTACTGTTCGTAAAACATCTCAAACAACTGGACATATTTTAGTGAAAGTTTGAGAAGGTAGTTATTACATTAATGCATGTACAACTACAAAACTTAGACATGAAAGATGATAGACAATCTTTTAACGAATGCATGGTTTTTATTGAAAGATTAGAAGGATTTTCTGCCAAACAAATTTTAAGYGAAACACAGATATGCTTTAAAATGTATTTAATTTCCACAGAACGGTAGTTTTCAGTGTGTTTGTAGTGTTATTGTATTTTGTTTACAAAGAGTGAGCTGATCTCAGTTTCCTCTGGCCTGAAGGAAAGCTGTGGATCATCCCAGGACACACACACACACACACACACACACACACACAGCTGATCAATGAACCAAACATATGCATTTGGACTGAGGGAGGAAACTAACAGAACTCATGAAAGTACAGAAAAGACAGGAATTTCACAAAGAAACTCAGCAGCCTTGAAAATCGGTCTCTTTTCAGGGAAATCTCAGATGGCCCCAAACTGCCTTAAAACTCATTTTATAATTTGACATTAAAGTTTTGTTTTTTCACTATTTTGTGCGATATTCATCAAATATTAATATTTGATGTGAGTGGGTTGTTCAGTTTGTTTTGCCTCCCTGCAGCTGTCAGCAGGTGGCAGAGCTGCAGGAGGGAGGAAAGAAAACTATTAAAGATCTAATATGAACACAGCCGTGTGTGTGTGTGTGTGTGTGTGTGTGTGTGTGTGTG